TCCGCCGCGCTTGGGCGGCTGCCGTCGCCTCTTCTTCTTCCTCCTGCTCCTCACGGGGGGGCAGCCGCCGGTGCAGCCTCGGCGCCTGCTGCTCCTACCGCCTGCGAGACGCCCGTGAGTGCCGCTCTCCCTCAGCCCCCTCAGCCCGCCCCCTCTCAGTCCCGCCATCGCTCCCAGCTCCCCGCGCTGCCAAACTTTCTGTAGGAGCCGCAGGGACACCGAGCTCTGCCTGGCTTTGTCATGAAAAATGACAAAATGTTCCTGAAACATCAGGAAGTGGCAGTGTTTTAAACACAGGGAATGTTTTGCGCCGCCTTTGCCTGAGTTGACCTCATGGAGCTCCGTAAAGTTTGCTCACTGAGGGAAACCGCGGCGGGGGGGTGGGAAATTGTTCGGCCACTCCTCGTGTGAGTGGTTTGAAGGTTTAATTTATTTTCATTCCTCGTTTAAAAGACTCTGAGCAGTCGTATCTAGTGAAGTAGCCTGTAAAGTGATGCTCAAAGCATCATGGTTTAGGGTTCAGCAGAGGGACAGGGCACCAAAAGCTGTGTGTGGGTCACCAGGTGAACAGGTCCACGCAGGCAGCAGTTCTGGTTTTAAGAAGAATAAAGTCCTGTGGAAACCATTCACGTACCTATCCTGCTTGTGCCAGTTTGAGGGGCCCAAGCTGCCCACAAAATTGCTGGATTTGGGTTTACAGGTGTGGGATCAGCGGGACCCATCTGCACAATGCAGTTCTGGGCAGGATTGGCGTAGCTGCTGTAGGAGCTCTGAACCCCCCTTTGCGGAGTAACCCCTGTGCTCGTGTTGCCTTCTAGAGAATGTTTTCCTTCCCAGTGGGAATTATCCCATGTCTGGAGCTCTCCCAGCTCAGCTGATAGTGCTGGTGTGCAGAGAAGGCTGGAAAAGAAAGCTGCCTTAAATTCTGGCAATGATAGGAAAACAGTCTCTTTTTCTGGGAAATAAGGGATAAAGAAATAACAATTTCTTTGCAGAGCATTCTACAAAGGCTGAAAGGTACTGACATGGCAGTTCTAAGTTAAATTACTGCGCTTCCCTGTGTGGCTTGAGTCATGCAACTGGAATGTTTTATTTTTCTTTTGCTTTCCTGGGCACCAGCTGACTTGAATTAGCCTTTGGTGACACAGCACCTTCACTTGCCAGAAAGTTCTGTGTCCTGCATCAGAGCCTGACTCTGCTCCTCACCTTGCAGTGCATCCGCTGTGGCAGAGCCCGCTGACAATTCCCGGAGGCACCCGCCAGTCTCCCATCAACATCCAGTGGAGGGACAGTGTTTATGATCCCTTCCTGAAGCCTCTGAAAATCAGCTATGACCCCACCACCTGTCTTCACATCTGGAACAATGGCTACTCCTTCCTGGTGGAGTTTGATGATTCTACTGATAGATCAAGTAAGCAAAAACTCAGGAAAAAAAAAATCTATTTAATGTCTAAGTTAATGCTAAGAGAGGATAAATAATTGTGTGATATAAGACCTGATGTTGAAAATGAATGTATGGTAAAAAAATCCTGGGTTTACAGTGGTGGGAATCATGATGAAGAAATTCTATACAGACTTCACATTTACAGTGTTTTTATCACCATGGGCATTGTGCACAAATCCCCTGCTGTATGTTGAAACTCCTTTCACAAGCCTCAGTGCCCTGTGTTGTAGGTTTTGTAATAAACTTTACCCACACAAGTCAATCTTCAGTCATTTATATGTGTACCTACTCAATTTGAAACCTGATTCCATCACTGCTCTTTATTGAAGTAATCTGCCACTTATCTTTTGTGGTGTTAATAGAGATATTTAATGCACTTGAAATAATCAGCAGCCAATTGAGCTGCAGTTGGAAAGCACACACACTTATCTCTGTGGGGTTTTAGGGAATAACACTGAGCTCTGCCCTCAGGAGCAGGTGTGTGTGTGTGTCCCTGTTGTTTTATGGGAAGCAGGAGTGCATGGAAAATCCAACCATGCACCCCAGCAATTTCATGGGAATAAACCTCTGACCTGAGCAGCTCAACCTTTTTAAAGGCTCAATAGAGTAAAAAAAAAAAAAATTGACTTAAAATCGAGATATTGCTCCCAAATCCCAGATTTTCTGTCCACTGTTCCTTCTAAAAGCTTCCAAAGAATATTGCAGAATATGAAGATATTTCATAAGGGTGAGTGTGCTGGTAGCAATCAGTCAGGGCTGTTGTGAAGCACATGATCGCCCAGCTTGTCCTGCAGGGAAAAATTGAAAGACCCTGAGCAAGTTTGAACCTGTTGGATTGGAGTAATTTATGTTTAAAGTGGCTGCTCACCATGACAGCGCCTGCATCTTCCTGTGGGATTTAGCAATGCCCTCGGGGAGAGAGCCTCCAGCACACAAATAAACACTTTGTCTACACAACACCAATATTTCTGGCTGATGTTTGGAATGCAGCTGATAAAACAGTGCAGCGAAAATGGTGGTGGTGGAATGCAGGAAGCTTGTGTGATGTTTTGGGCTCGTTTTGTTTTTCTTATTTCTAGCTGTTCACTTGGAATATCCATTTCCAAGAGTGAATAATCCATTTCCAAGAGGGAATGTCTTTGCCTTTGCTCCTTTATGCACTGATGTCATGAAGAAGCCAAGTTCTGCCCTTCTGTTTCTCCAGCACAAAGTGCTGTTTTTTTCAGTGAGGTTGGGTTAGCAGAAAGGCATCACTATTTACCCCATGAGTGATTTTAATTTACTAACTTTAGATTTGCTTTGCTTTTCATTGAACAGCCTCTTGCTTTATAAACCACACCCCACTATCTGTTGAGTGTTTAGTGGATAACAAAGTTGGATTTTTTTCTTCTAGAATTGATGTAACAAAAGGAAGTTGCCTGTAGGGGGTTGAGAAAGATGCAATATTTAATTGCATACAAACAGTTTTTGTGGCATAAAGGCAAGGCTGGAATCATCAGGCCTTTGAGACTGGTGCTCACCTCTGAAAGATCTTACCTGCTTTGTCTGTAAGACTTTCCTTGAGGTAAATCTTTCCCTGTGAGCATTTGCTGCCTTTTCATCATCCTCATCTTCCTTAAATGAATTCAAGTTCATGAAGGGTAGGATGGCATCAAACAATCAGTGCCAGGGCTCCAAAATGACAGAGAAGCAACAGATAGTGAGGTGTTGCTGTATAACCCCCAGTTTTCAGGTGCCTGCCTCTCTCCTCCACCTTTCTCTCTTTACTCTTGCTATTTCTGGTTTTTCTCACTGCCAGCTTCTGTCTAACAAACATAGAAATCCAGAGAAGAAAGCTTGGGAGCAAACAAAAGCACCACAGTTGAAAGAGAAGATGAGAAAGACACCCAGGATAGACAAAAATGCCTGAATCCTGAGATGGGGTTTGCAAGACTTGGGCTAAAGCTGAAGGTAGAGCAGGAGGAAGAAGAGGGTGAGGGGAAGGTATGTACAGCATGTGCTCTGTCTGTGTGTGGTGCCATCAGAAACGAGGCTGAAACAGGGCCAGGGCTGCAAGAAACAGCTGACATGATTCTTGTCCTTTGAGCCCCTTAAACTTTTGTTTTGAAATTGTCAAGATTGTAATTTGAGAAATGTTTCTGAAGGGACAGAAATTCCTGTTTGTTTCCTGTCACTTTCTGGTGGCACTACAGGAACCTGAGTCTCCATATGTGTGTCTGTGCCTAAATTTACTCGTGAGGCAAATATTCAAGTGGCTGTGGTTATTAACACAAAATTCACCTGTGGGTTTGCATCATCACATACACAGGAGTGGATAAAGTGTTAGAGCACAGGAACTTCACTTCTGAGAGGCTTGGCTGTGTGATCCACATCTTTATCACAGCCCTTCTCCAGCACACAATCCCAGCATGGTTTGGGTGGGAAGGACCTTACAGCTCATCCCGTTTCACCCCCTGCCATGGGCAGGGATACCTTCCACTATTCCAGGGTGCTCCAAACCCTGTCCAGCCTGGCCTTGGACACTTCCAGGGATGGGGAATTGTGATTTTCCAGTGATGGTCAGTGCTTCATTCATGCCCAGAGCTCAGCAGCAGGGGATGAAATTAATACACTGTCCCTTTGCACAGCCTGTTTTAATTTATTCCTTTATCACAGACAGGCCTGTCTGGTTAGGATTTCAAATCTGCTAGCTGGCATTCAGGAAAAAAAAAAAATACAAGAAAATCTCTTAATGCCTCTCATTGTTTTCTCCTTAGCATGGAAGTGATTAACTTATTTCCCAAAGCAGTGTTGGGATTAGGTTTGCTGTAAAACTTCCCCATGTCCTGCAGTTCAATAAATATCAGCAGATGCTGGTGGTTTAGTGCTGGATGAACTCTTGGAAAAGCTCTTTTCCAACCTAAAGGATTCCCTGATTCCATAAGTGTTATTAGCCCTTGGGAAGTAATTAGGGTTTCTGATTTACAGATGCTCTGATACCATAATTAGCAAGATGACTTTGCAGGATGGTTTTGGTCCAGGTAGGAGGGAATGAGTGGAAGCAGAAGCTGGGCATAGACTTCTTCGTTCACGTGTTTGCAGGAGGATGGGAGGCCTTCTGAAATCAGGACAGAAGTTTTACCTTTATTCATTGATGAAAAGGGCATTAAATCTTTCAGAAACTTGCCCAGTGGCAGACTGGATGTTTAAATCCTTCATGAACAGTTTGTAGGCACAACAAAACATATTTCAGTCTGACCTTTGCTTCTCCAGTCTGGAAGCTGTGCTGCAGCAGAGTAAGATGTTTGGGTTTTAGTAGCTTGCAGATTGAACATTTGACTCAATGTACTGATTTGTCTGGAAATATTTTGAAGCCTTGTCATGAGAAATGTCAATATTTTTCACAGATCCTTGTAGGGATGTCATTGAATACATTTGATAGATGTGTCACTGCTGTGTCACCTGGTCAAGCAGTCCTGACACTCCTGCTCTGACAGAGGGGTGAGAATGTGAGACTCGTCACTGTGACTGTGCCAAGCTTGGTGTCAGCTGGGAAAACATTCCCTTGAGGGGAGATGGATGAAGAGACTCTTCAGCTCATCTCCAGTTTGATGCAGGGAAAACCAGGAATGTGTTTGCTTGAATAATTTGATCATGGCAAGGTGTAGATAGTTGAGTTACTCCACCTGACACTTTTTCCTGGGCAAATTTTTCTCTTAAGATTTACTTGTCTGGCCAATTCTAAATCATATTTATTAACATGTGTCTTGTTTTGTTTTCTAGTCATCGTTGGAGGCCCCTTGGAAAACCAGTACAGGCTAAAGCAGTTCCACTTCCACTGGGGAGCTATCAACGACTGGGGCTCAGAGCACACCGTTGACAGTAAATTTTACCCAGCAGAGGTACGAGATGAAATCCTGAGCAATGCAAATACTTATCTCAGGTGTGTTTGTGAAAACTCCCAAACTGAGGAGTTGCAGTTTATTTTGAAGTGCTACCCTTTATCTGCTGTTTTATTCTATAAAAATTCATCTTCACTGATGGTGTTTTCTGGAGAAGAACAGCCTGAAAATTGGACATTGGCATCATTACTGAAAATTAAAAATCACTTTGTTTATTGCTGCTAAATTGTTCAGAGAAACAAAGCATATATTAAGTACTCTTAAAAAACATCACTTTATTTTCTGTTTGCAACCGTTTAACAAAACTTTGATGTTTAAGTAACTACTAAGAAAGAAAGTGTCAATAAAAAGGGTGAAATCAGTGAAAATGTGAAACTGTGACAGTTTTGACCACAGTTCTTTGCCAAAGGAGAATTTGTCAAGTGCTGTTGGGTTGTTTTTAAGGAGAGTTTCTCTCCTGTTGCTGTGTTCATGGTGCTGCTGCCAGCTTGGCAAGATCCTCATTGACAGGAGACTGTGACTAAGTTTTTGGGCTGGGGTATTTATTTATCACACAAAACTCCTCAATGTATTGGCTGTCAGCAGTGCAGAGGAAGATTGTTATGTGCAGGAGGATGTTCCTCAGGAGGGCAGGGCGCTCTGCTCCCGGGAAGAGATGGAAGACTGAGCTTTGTGCCTTTGATCAGCGTTCCTGGAGGCAGACTCCCACAGACTAAATCCCTTTTATAGATGGGAAATGCAGTGGGTCTGTACTTTTGTTTAAAGCAAAAGACAAAAAAGGAAGGGAAGGACCATTATTTACCAAGAGCACTTTGTTCCTCATTCCTGTGGTTTCTGAGGCTACTCACTGCAGTGCCTCACTCTGCCAAGGAGTAAATGCAGCCAGGACCAGTAGTCAGGTGTGCTGTCTGTGCCCTGTGCAGGGGTTGATTTCTCCCTCATTCCTCTTTCAGCTGCATTTGGTGCACTGGAATGCTGTGGAGTACCCGAATTTTGAGGAAGCTGTGATGGAAGGGAATGGCCTGGCTGTTATTGGAGTGTTCTTAAAGGTAATTTTGTTCTGTGGGACCAGCTGTCATGGGACCTTTCTATTTGCATTCTGTTCAAGCCAACTTAGGGCAGTTAAGGGAGGGCTGAGAGGGGATTCCATCAATCCATATAAATGTTTTCAAGGGGTGTCAGGATGGTGCCAGGCTCTGGTCAATGGTGCCAGTGAACAAGTTGACGAGCAATGGCCAGAAATTAAAAAATGTTTCACCTCAGTATGAAGAATTTGACATTGAGGGTGGAACAGCTGTTCTGGGAGGATATGGAATCTCCCTGTCTGGAGACATCCCAAAACCACCTGGATGTGTTCCTCCAGGTGCACCTGCCTTGGGCTGGATGATCTCCAGAACTCCCTTCCAACCCTAAATATTCTGTGATTGTTGTTATTAAAAAAACACTAAGGCTGCTAAGTAGAACTGATTGATTATTGATCAGCTTATTGATTCTCCAACCCCTTCCTGTCCCTGCAGCTGGGAGCACGGCATGAAGGGCTGCAGACCCTGGTGGATGCCCTGCCAGCAGTCAGACACAAGGTCAGTGCTCTGAGGTGTCCCACCCATTGTCACCCAGCAGAAAGAACACTTGGAGAACCACAAAACACCGAGAAAAGCTTTCTTCCTTAAATTTTACTGGGGAGGGGCTGATTGGCACCTTGGAAGTGGGAAGGGAAGCTGACTTTTCAGGAGGAATTGGCTACTTTAAGCTTTCCAAACCTCTTGAAAAAATGAGCTGCTCTTGAGAGCTCCCTTACAAGGACATGCTTGAAGTGGGGGTTTATTTACTGTGGGATTAAGGCTTTTTGGTTTTTTTTGACTGATCTTTGAGATGATTTGCTTTTTTATAAACACTGAATTTTCTGCTGGGGAAATGGGATCGTTCCTGGCAGAGTCCTGCCAGGAGAGGGAGTGCTGAGTCTCCGACAGAAGCAGTTCTTCCTTCCCGTGCCCGTTCCCTTCTGAAAGTACACGCAAAAAACCACATCCACCTCTTCAACTTCTAATCACATCCAGCTGAAGTCGCTGTGCCACTGCTTCTCAGAGGAAGGAGTTTTAAAACCCAAATAAAACAAGTTTTTATATCAGAGCAGTGACAACTCTGCCAGATAAACACCAAACACCTCAGTTCAGTGCCAGAAGTCCTTCCCAAATCGGAATATACTTCTATTGTGACAATATAATAATTTACAGCATGTGAATTTAAAAGAAATGTGGTTTCTTTTAAAGATCCCCAAGTATATCCTGAAAATCCCCCTGGAGAAATGTTTGTGTGGGAAATCCTGGATTTTGAAGCTCCTACATTCTTTATGATATCCTCACTTAAGGGATTGAACATTCTAGAGATGGAAATATTTGATTTAAATGAAAACTTCAGTCCGCTTCCTGCTGCGTAAAATCACATGGTGAAAAGTAAAACACTTTTTGTTTGCAGTCTTTTAAAGATCTGGCACAGCTACCTGAACTTATTCCACCACTTATTCCCTCTTTTTCCTGGTTGCATCCAGCTCCCACAAAGCCTTAGGCTGTTGATCCTTCTCACTCCTTGTTTCTCCTGCACTGAATTCCTAATGGCTTGTTGGGACTGCAGAAATATTTCAATTTTTGCTGCTCAGCAATTGCCCCTTACACCTCAAACCCAATTTTATACAAATTTGTGGGATTTAAAATTATTACATTGTTAATATTCACAACACCCCATTTCCCATGCACACATATAACACGGTTTTTAACCTTACTGTCAAAATATTTTCCAACTTTGTCAGTTTTTTCTCAAAACACCATCCTTAAAAGTGTTTTTTCCTGCTATTTAGGACACTGTGATCGAGTTTGATGTCTTTGATCCCTCCTGTCTGATCCCTTCCTGCCCTGATTACTGGACCTACGCCGGCTCCCTGACCACACCCCCCCTCACTGAATCAGTCACGTGGATCATTAAGAAGAAGCCAATTGAGGTGGATGAGGATCAGGTAAATCTCAATTTTCCTTCCAGATCACACTTCTTGTTGCCACAGAGATGCTCAGAACCAGTTTTTCACTAGCAATTCTCTGGTAAAACACAAAAATTCTGTGTTTTCCCAGAGATCTGTGAGTGTTTCAACCCAGGATTTGGGGAGAAATCCTGGTGTTAACAGCCACTAATACAGAAAGACCTAAGACCCCTCCAAGATGTTTTTCCAGCTTTATTCAAATTTTCCATTTAGTCTCAAGAGTTTTATCTTGATCTGTGATACACAGTTCTGGAACCTGCCCCTTGGAAACTTGGGAGCTTTTAGGAACTTACTGGAATTCTCATAATTTTGCTCTCCTTAGCATGATGTACCTTTTTTTGCAGAGGGAAGGGAAAAGGGAAGATTCTGTGAGATGGAGATTGTTCACAGAGAACTACAGGCATAGTGTAGCATTCTCTAAAATTGAAAATTTTCTTATTTTTTCTTGGCTCTTCACTCTCATAGCAGTGATTTATCATTGGAATGGCCTTGTGAGCATTAAAAGCTGATCTGCTGCTGCTTTATTTTAATCCCAGTTACAAACCAGTGAGAGAAAAACTTGAGGATTGTTGGGGTTCCCTCTTTTCTGGGTGCCAGGGAGGCTGTAAATGGAGGTTGGATTAAGTGCTTGAAATGATGAAATGGCTCCCTCAGCTGTGCCACATTTGGGATTTAATTTCCCTAGGGATGGCAGATAATTCTTCCACGCTGGTGTGGATAATGGGACACCAGCAGGTGACAGAGATGTGGGTGCTAAAACCCCTCAGAACTCAAACAGCGCTACCTTTGATTTTACTTTCCTCTCCAACAATAAACTCTTGTCTTTTGCCATGAATTCCCAAACTGGGGGAATTCCTGGGAAGTGACTGGAGTGGCCATTTGTGGTTCCCAGCTGGAGGCCTTTCGGACACTGCTGTTCACGTCGGACGGGGAGGAGGAGAGGAGGATGGTGGACAACTTCCGCCCGCTGCAGCCGCTGATGAACCGCACGGTGCGCTCGTCCTTCCACCCCCAGCTCCGGCCCCACGCCCAGCAGCTCAGCCCATAGCTGGCCCAGCATTTCTCATGATTATTCCTTGTATCCATGCCCTTTTCACTGTCAGTGCTCCCTGACCTTCCCTAGAGATGCTGTCAGGGTTTTTAGTTTTGCTTTTTTTTAAAGAAGTGAGTAATGTTAACCCTTAGCAAATTGGCTTGTTCCAAGGCAGGGGTCAACAAGGAATTATTAAGGCAGTTAAAAATAAGGACAGGAGAGTTCGTCCCCTGCTCCTTCTCTGAATTGTTCTGTGTTTCTTTAAATGCTCTTGCAGTGCCTTGCATGAATTAATAATTCTGGGTAAAAATTGTTAAGAAGGGGGAAGTGGGAAGAAAAAGAAAAATATCAGTTCTGATTGGGTCCTTTTGGGGAATTGTTTGCTGTCTGGGAAGAGAGCTGGAAGGGAACTAGTTTGTCTCAGAGACATTTTACCTTCTTCCTTTTTCCTTGGATGAGAAGGACAGAAATGACTTCCAGGATCTCTTTCCATTCTGCTGGCTGCACATTCCATATTTGATGTGGGTGCCACAGAATGCCCACTGCTACTACACCAGGAGCCAAAAGATTTTTTCTAAAACCTTTTAACAGCTGTGGAAGTTTTGGCTTCGGCAGCTTTTGCTTTCCTGTGTTAATCTATAGGAAAGAAGGGAGGAGAGAATTCACCGGTGTCACAAGACTGGCAAGAGCGGAAAATTAGGTGAAAATGTCCAATTGATCCCAGGAAACTGATCACATCAAAAGGGAAAGCAAGATTAGATAAAGCCCAGTTGACCCTCCCAGTGGGATTAGTGGGGGAAAAAACTCAAACCGATTCCTCAAACCTGTACTAGGAGGGTGTGGACAAAACTCAGCTCTGGGAAAGGGCTTTTATTTCAGTAACTCATAGAGCACCAGAGCTCCCTTCAAAGTTCTGCTTTGAGATGTGTTTTCCTATAAAAACACCCAGCTTCAGGACCAGTGGGGACCAGTTTGTTTTTATTGCACCTTATGGTAACGAGGTCCAGTGGGGGTTGGAATTGATTGTGGACCAAGCAGAGCTGCTGTGTGAGCTGCCAGCTCCGAGCCTTTCCCAGGAGCTCCAGCTGCCCCAAGGATCACCTCTCACATCCTACTAAACCTGATTTTTTTCTCAGGCACCTTTCTCTCTGGCCCTTCATGCTCTGCTGTATTTAGCAGATTAAATTCATGCACCAGATTTCTGATGAGGAGCAGCTCTGCCTGTGAACTCCCTGTGTGATCTCCATGGGTTGTGTTTGAGTGTCTGAGGAATCTTTGCTGGTGGGATTCAGTGAAGCCATGATCTAGCTTGGCAATGTTAAATCCAGATCTTTTCAATTGTTGCTTTGGTTTTATAAAAATCCAAGTGTTGAGTTTCAAAGCACCTTTACACTTTTCAGTGTGACCCTGATGATTTTAAGGGTTTGAGATAATCTTGTTGAACCAATTGAGTGCCCAGATCCTGCTTTACTTCCTCAATAGCTCTACCTCAGGCTGTTGTTCTGGTGCCACAGCTGTGCCTTTGTCCCCTGAAATGTGGCCACTTCAACTGGAGTGACTCTGGGTGCTGAAAGGAAGGAAACCTCCTTCTATCCTGGTGTAGGACATTTTCCCTGATGGGAATTCCGTGTGGCAGTGGAGCTCTTTGGTTTCACCACTTCCCCCCAGCCCTCCCTGCCTGAGGGAGCACTTCAATCCTGGTTGTGCCATCTCCCTTTGGAGGGGCTGGGATTATCCTGGGATAGTGAAAGGTGTCCCTGCCATGGCAGGGGTGGCACTGGATGAGATTTAAGGTCTTTTCCCACCCAAACAATTCCATGATTTTCTTATTCCATCATCTCAGTTGAACTCTGCAGGCTTTGCTATCACCACACAGATTTTAAGCTACAAAATTGCATCAGTGATGATTTTGCTGGAGAATTATAAATTCCAAACTAAAGCTGGAAGGAATATCTACAGTTCTGGGAGCAGGAAAAGAATGATTTTACTTTTTGCCTGAATATATAATAATTATGATCCAGTCATTAAGTCAGAGATTTATTCAATGCTGCTCTTGCAGACACTTCTGAGGATGACCCTGGAGGAAGATGGCAGCAGTTCAGATGTTTTCCACTCATTAATAGAAAAAAACTGTAATACAAAGACATCTTAATGTTGCCTTTTATTTAAAAACAGAACTGCCTCAGCAGCACTGGGTTGTAGGTGCATCAATCTCCTTATCATTTATGAATGGATCTTTTAAAAAGATTTTTGTAATTTTGTAAAAATTTGTAAAAGCGATTTTGTAATTGTTAGTTTAAAAATTGTTTTTGTAATTTCCACTGAATTTTTGAATTTCTCTGATGCACTGAGAAGAATCACCAGTTGATCCAGCTTTCCCAACAAACCCCAAATCCAGATTATTTTAGGGAACTGCCAGGGTGTAAATGTTTAACTTCAGCTGCTCTGGAACTCTGTAGCAGCCTCACACCCACTGAGTTCTCCATGGTTTGCTCCACTCAATCAGATTTTCCTCCTGGTGTGTAAATCCCTTTTGAACCACCCTGCATCCCTCAGAGGGAATGTGGGATATTCCCTTCCCAGTGATCCAGTTAAAATTCTCAGAGAGATTTATTTCAAGTTCTCACAGAGATTTACTTTGTCCAAGTATTGCCATGGAAGCTTTGTTAGACAATAGTGAATTACCCAGTTAAGCTATGTCCATATTTACATCAAATCACACCTATTTTTACTGACATAAAATGAAGAAATTCCAATTTCAGCACTGATCACTTCAAATATCTGGAAACAGGGTTAATGTAGATAAAAAATAACTCTACTGTGTTACAAAAAGATGTTTTACAGGGGTTTTGTTACATTTTTTTTGCTGTTTCTTGAGTCCTGCATTTATGTGTAGATTTTTAGCATCTCCTGAAGGCAGGCAGGAGCTCAGCTGCAGGGCAGATTGTTGGAATTAATCTGGAAATGAACACATTGGGGTTTTTTTTGTTTTGTTTCTTTTTTTTCAGTTTTATCTCTTCTGTTACAGTGACTTTATTGACCTTGTGAATGTAAACTTCAGGAAAATATTTGTGTTTAGAACAAGAGATGGGATAGAATTCCTGTGCCTTATTCTCTCAGTTCTGTGTGGAAAAATGGTTTGATTGTTGCGTTAGAGGTGATTTTTGTGATGATTTTGCACAATTAAGTTAAGAAGGAATTTTTGGGCTCTTTTGGATGGCACAATACAAAAGGGTCAAAGCACATATTTGTATTTTCCTTGCATAGGAGTCACTTTATTACTAAATCCTGCCCTGGGAGGCATTCCTGGGGCAGCAAGGCCCAGGAATTAAAGACTGTCACAGGAATAATTTGGGGACAACTCCCTGCAAAGGGAGGAGAAGGTTTGGAGCAGACCTGTGTCTGTGCTGCTCTGATTCCAGCTGCCTTTCAGGATTTCTCTGAAATGCTGCTCTCCCCTTGTCCTGGGTGACTTCACAGTGGGACAAACTTCCTCTGCTGTTGGAATGTTTGATCCCTGCTCCTGCATTCCAGAACTTTAACTCTTCAGGTGTTCCTCACCACATTTGTGCTGCCTTTTCTGTCAGGAATGGCAGGAGGGTCTCCCCTGGTTTTGGAAGCTCCAGAATTGGAGTTTGCTTTGATCTCCACAGGGTTTTAGAGGACTGGAATTCTGCTTTGGATGAAGGGTCCCCTCATGCCTTGATTTGGGATGTTTTAACTTGTATTTCCTGGCACATCTTGGCTTTTTCTTTCTTTGTGCATCTCGTTTTTGTGGCCTTTATGATGTTGTGTATTTAATGTGTGTTACCTGCCTGACCATAACTGACTGAAATCACTGTCTGCAGACAACACCTGGAACAGGAAATGTTTTATGTTTTCCTGTGGTACAGGCCCTTCCCCAAAGTTTCTCCCTGATGTATAGAACCCTTCAGCTGCTGCATTTTACACTGTTACATTAGTGTACAACTATAATAAAGGACCAGAGAAACCTATGGCTGTATCTTGTTGTGTAATTAAGCTTTTCAAGTAAAAAAAAATCCGTTTTCCTGTCAAAAAAATATTAGAATTCCTCTTTGGGATTGGCCTAGTTCATTAGGAGTGGAGTCTGGTCAGCTGTCAGATGTTCTGTGACACTTCCAAGCTCTGAAAGACTCTGCTGAGCTGTGTTAGAATGAAAGCACAATGAGCTCTCTGTGCTGCAGAAGGGTATCTCATGATTGATCACATCCAGCCAGATGCCACAGGCCATCTCCAGCAGCATTCCAGGGTTTCGGGATCTTTCCTGAACTCCTTCACTGGACACTGCTCATTAAACTGGACATGTCAGCTGAGCTCCTTCCTCTGGCCTGGGTAAAGCTGAGCCTTGAGCTCTGTGCTGTGACTCAGCTGGTGCTTGTGGCTACAAAAATGCTATCAAATAACGCCTAAAAAAACCTTTAAATAAATTAAATAACTGATACAATTTTAAAGTTGATATAAGAGAGTGGGTTTAGATTAGATATTGGGAAGGAATCCTTCCCTGGGAGGCCCTGGCACAGGTGCCCAGAGGAGCTGGGGCTGCCCCTGGATCCCTGGGAGTTTCCAAGGCCAGGCTGGATGGGGCTTGGGGCAGCCTGGGACAGTGGAAGGTGTCAGGGTTGGAACTGGATGAGTTTTAATGTCCCTTCATCCCAAAGCATCCCATGATTCTGTGAACATTGGGTGAAATATGTTCATGTCTCTGTCTCACAGCTGAGCCACACTTGGAGTCCAGCTGTCACACAGGTTGTGTTTAGCTGGGTTAATCCAAAGAAGTTTCTTTTGATAGGAAAAATGGGAGATTCCATTTCTGGTTAAGGAATCCCCCTAAAATAATTGTAGGTGATGTTTCTAGAAGGTTCCCAACTGTGCTGGTGGGTGGACAGCCCATTTTCTGCTGGAGAAAGAGTGGCTTGGGTTAGGAGTGAGGCCAGCTCTGCTCTTGTGACCATTTCATGGTTCTAGAAGCTGCCACCACTTCCATTAACCCAGGAAAAGCAGCTCTGAGCTCTTTATCACAGCTGAGATGTTTGCTGAAGAAATGGGCAGCGTGGTGGCTGGATCAAGGCAGCTTTTCCAAAGACCTGGTTCAAAACATCCCCATCACTCCTCACAAATGGCCCATTTGCTCCTGCTCCTGCTCATTGTTTATCCTCGTGACAAATCATTCCTTCCCTCCTCCTTTTTGATGTGCCAAACTCTGAGTGTTAGCACATGGAGAACTGATTGGATAATCAAATAGTCTTCAAAGGTCCTGCGGAATAACTTGGGGACCCGAGGAGAGGTAATGCTCACGGCAGGGCTGATAACAACACTCGGCATTTGAGAAGTGCTTTGAAGATATCCAGCACTCTGGGAACACACCCCAGTGCCAGGCCGGTGTTTTCTCAGGAATACAAATGGAAAAACAGTTGCAGAATGAATTTGTGTGGATTAATTTGCAAGAGAGTCAAGCAGGAGGTTGGCTTGGAACAGGGCAGTTCAGTGGCTGTGGCTCCACGGCTGCTGAGCCTGGGATTTCCAGGTTCTCAGCTGTGAGTCCAGGAGAAAATTCCCTCTTGGAAGAATTAGAACAGGGTAATTCTGTCCCATTCATGTGAGAGCTCATGGAAATGTCTGTGTGGATTCATATCAGGTCTAAAATGTCCATGGTGGGATTCTTGGGGCCAGGAATTGGACTTGATCCCTGTGAGTCCCTTTCAGTTTAGGAGATCCTGGTTCTAGGTTATTATTAGCCTTGAGGAACTTGGCCTGGGGCACTGGAGAAGTAAATCCCTCCATAAATCATTTTAATCCCCCAAACAGAAACCGAGTTTGAGTATTCATCTGAAAACACCTGAAGCAAATACCTAATTTCAATCCCAATCCTGTCTGCTGGATCCTGATGTAACAAGGGTGACACAGGGATAATCCCATATGTTGTAAATATCTGTTTTTTTCTTGATTTCACAGTCCTGGGATAAATCACAAAATGCAGTAACAAAAATGGCCCATAATGGAAAACTAGTAAAGTGAAAAAAGGCTTTGGGGGTTACAGAAAACCTGTGATAAATGTTTGTTTTTTATTTTTAATGAACTATCAGTCTTTTCAGTCTCTTCAGGATCCCATTTCTCCTTGAGAACTGGAGGAACGTGCTTAGTGCCAAGGTAATTTCTGTCTTTGCTCTCTTCCAGAAATTGGATGTTTACCTCAAGTCAGCAGCAGATTTTTGAGCCCTTGAACAGCCACTAGATGTCAGGTTTGGATTAGCGCGCCAAGGATTGGGCTGTTTGGGATTCTGAAACTGCTGGAAGTGGTCCTGATGGAAAATGAAATGTAACTGAAATGTGTCCTTTCCCCCCAGAATGTCCATCAGGGAATTCTCTTGGAGAAAACCTTCCAGCCCACCTCCTGCCTGTCTGAACCGTGCACAGAGGGTGCTCCAGGAGGCTGAACCAACCTCGGGCTTTGGAGCTCCTTGTGTGACAGTGCTGCCTGGGAAGCAGCTCCCCACAGGTACCACTTCCACCCTCAGAGGGGATGTCTGCAATCAGAGCTTCCAGGCTGGAGCCTCTGAGCTCCTCTCCCCCCACCAGGGCAAGAGGGAATCCGAGTTTGCTGAAGGGTCGGCTCCTTGGGCCGTTATTGTAGCATCCGAGTGATTCTCCTTGGATGCAGAACCTCTGCCTTCAGTGAGGCAGACATTGCCTGCACGACTGCCAGATGGGTGAATTATTTTACATTTTCGTTTTGCGAACAAGCATTTTTGGTGACTTTGCCATGCGTCACATTTGAGATTGATGAATCACTTCTTTTTCAGACGGGTCCTTTTGGTGATCTCGGTGTGTGCCAGGAGGGGCCGGTTCCCGCAGCGCCTCTGCCGGGCTGCAGGTGATGCGGCACCGAGGCCTCGCCCTGTGCTCGTGCATTGGGATGGAAAAGCACGGCAGGATGGAGCCGGGAGAGGCAGGATACGTGTACATCCACAAAGGATCCCTTCGGGCGGCGAGTGCCAGCCGGGGCAGAGCTGCGGGGTCGCTTTTACCTCTCGCTGTCCCCTTTTGGGGCTCGGGGACGCTCGAGGTGGCCGGGCTCAGAGCGATGCGGGGCCGAGCGAGCACCCAACGGCTGCCGCGCAAGCCGGGGGCGCTGCAGCAACAG